AGGAAAACGAGGTGTCCTGGCATGGTTCTGATGGTTGGAATGTGTTTAGAATGGGCAGAAATGATGAGCTGGGCAGAAAAAGCTCCTCAGGGAAGTCTTTTTCAAAATCACCTCTTTTCAGTGGAACTTTAGCCCTATATTAGGGTTAGGGGTGTGCCTCAGGGTAGGGTTAGGGTTAGGAAAACGAGGTGTCCTGGCATGGTTCTGATGGTTGGAATGTGTTTCGAATGGGCAGAAATGTTGAGCTGGGCAGAAAGAGCTCCTCAGGGAAGGATTTTTCAAAATCGCCCTCTTTTCAGTGGAAATTTAGCCCTATATTAGGGTTAGGGGAGTGCCCCAGGGTAGGGTTAGGGTTAGGAAAACGAGGTGTCCTGGCATGGTTTTGATGGTTGGAATGTGTTTAGAATGGGCAGAAATGATGAGCTTGGCAGAAAAAGCTCCTCAGGGAAGTCTTTTCCAAATTCGCCCTCTTTTCAGTGGAACTTTAGCCCTATATTAGGGTTAGGGTTGTGCACCAGGGTAGGGTTAGGGTTCGGAAAACGATGGTTCCCACGAACTTTCTACGTCCTGCAACGTTCTTAGGCTTGGCGCAGAAGGTGAGCTATGCAGAATGGTCCCCCCGCCCCCATGGCATTTTGGGAACTCAGGTCCTCCTAGCCTAAGAACGTGGTTCCTGAACGGGGGCCAGCGCGGCAGCCGCTGTGCCCTGGCTGCCTTTCCCCCTCTCGGCTGGCCTGGCGTGTCCCTCGCTGCCTCTGCTGCTCTGCAGTGCCCCCATTCCTTGGGGTCAATTTTTCACAGCCTTTTTGCCCGGCGGAGCAGCGGACGGTGGTGATTCGGGGACTGGGGCTGCTGCGTTGGAGTGGGGAGAGACTTCATCCAACCGCCTTCAATCATTAACTTGGGGGGGGGGGGCTGTCAAATGACCACGTGGACAGCTTGGGTGGGTGAAGGCCCGCCCGGCCAGACCGGGCAGGGTCCCCGGGCAGCCCTTGTGGTCCGGGCCGAGCACCTGCGAACGGGTCTCTGTGGCGGGAGCCGGAGAGCGGCAGCCCCAGGATGCGCCGGCCAGCAGAGGAGGGCACGGGGTGGCCAGGGGGCCGGCCCGTCTGGTGGGACAGCTTCTCCCTGTTGGACGGCTTCTAAAAGATGAGGACCGCCGCGTCATTGTTTGGGGGCTTGTGGGGTGGGGTCCGTGCGCAGGCAGCTGGGGAGGGCGCTGGGCAGTAGGGCCAGCAGGGGGCCCCCGGGGGGGGGCTGGCCGGTCCCACAGAGCCCTTCCTGGGCAGCGAGACGCAACACAGCGATAAAGCATTTATGTATTAAATATGTTTGTGTACTGCTCTCGGGACAGGTTACAGATGGCTAAACATCGAAACTGCAACCAGAAACATAAACAAGGACGCAAGCAACGCAAACTGAAGAACTGTAACACAGAACAAATAAGAGCATATTGAACCGTGGCAACCAGACCTCGTGGAAGCCAATTGCAAAACACGTCTCGATCAACAATTAAAATCCCGGGAGAGTGAAAAGGCCAAGGCACCAGGCAGCCCCCTTGGGAGTTGATGCCATCGATGGGGCCGCCCCAAAAGGCCCTTCGTCACCCCTTCCTTGCTTCCTTCCTTCAAAGGTGCCTCTTGGAGCAGGACCTTGGTTGAAGCGCTCGGGGTCCGGGCGGGAATGCAAGGGAGGAGGCGTTCGTAGCGGGCCCAGACGTTTAATGGTGGCAGCAGCTTCACAGCCCAAATAACAGGTAGACTTCAGACTTTGCTTTGGCCGGCTTTCATGACCTCCTCCCCCTCCCCTCCCCTCCCCTCCCTCGTCATGGACTGCTACTGGTGTGGTTGGCCGGGAAACGCTTTCTAGCAGAGATTTCGTTCTGTGATGTGTCCTCGTCGCTTGCGTTGGGAGCTTCCACAAGATTGATAAAGCAATTAAGTGGATGACTGTAATTAGGGACTGCATATTGTTACTGTTCGCTGAAGGCAGGCGAGGGGGGTGCTTGCCAAATTTGCAGAGGCAGCGGGTTCCGGAGACAATGTGCCACTGCTCTACGGCCCAGTGCCAGCCCCCCAGCGGCTGGGCCCGGATCTCGCAGGCGCTTACGGGAGAGGCAGCCAGGCACCCAGTGGTGGCACGAGGGGGGGTGCTCAGGGGGGGGGTCCCTTAGCCCTGTTGCTCCCCACACCCCAGTCCATGGCTTCAGTGGGTCCCAGAAATGGCCCGTTCGCCCTGCTTACCTGCCGAGCATCCAACAGAGGCGGGAGCCGGCACTGTAATGATTATTGCTTTGCATGTCAGTCCTGTGTTTTCTCTCTCTTGAGGACCCCAGGGAAGCTCACGTTCCAATATTCTGGCCCAAAGTGGTTTAATGCATATGAGAGGCGGTATTTCAGCTGAGTTCACTGGCCATGTTTTTGAATTTCCCATGTTTGTAACTCAGATGGAAGTTGTACAGTTGTTTGCAGTGCAAAAGCGGTTTTTTAAAAACAATGTTCAGAAGGATTGCCTGCACAGAAGAAAGGCTGCTTTGCAAGAATGAGCTGCATTAGCTTGTTCTTCAGCTTACAGGACTTGAGGCGGTGTAATGCTCTTTAAATTTTTCTAATTCAAACTAAAATGCCTTTATTCAGTACTTGTAATTATGGATGTCGAGTAAGGCCTCCAAGCTGTGAAAGGAGTGGAAGGGGAGAAAGAGGCACTCCATTTTTACTTAAAAAAATATGCAAACTACTGCGAAGAAGGTGGATTTGCTGAGAGGCGCCCCATCTGTGGACGTGCGAGACTGACAAACTGTGAGTCCTCAAAGATGAGCTGAGTGGCGAGAGGCGGCCCGAGCGTGTTGCAGCACGCAGCCGACCAGAGCCGGCTGGAGCGGGCAGTCCTCTCCTGCCCGCTGAGTAAACAAGGCCGCTCGAGCGAGGGCTGCCGTTTGCAGGGGCCGCTCATGAAGCGGCACTCCAACGTTTGGCTGGGGGGCGCACTGGTTGCCCAGCCTGCGAAGCCGGGGGGTTGCCTGGGGATACGAGCGAGAAGAGTTCCTTGCCCTAATCCACCCCTCCCTGCCGCGCAGCGCCTGGCACCATGCTGGCTGGCCACGGAGCACCCTCCCTCCGGCCGGCCGTTGCGGGGCTGCTGCGCCTCTGCTAGCCGGCCCCACAGCCCAGGGGGCTGGCAGGCTGAGCAGGCCTTGCGCAGCCCTGGGGGTGGGCACAGCTGGTTGTGGGGGAAGGACACGGGTGTGTTTGCACGGGCAAAGCCTTGGCAGGTGCATGGGCTGCCTTTATGCCCTCCGACACAACTTTCCTCAGCCTAGTGTCCCCCAGAGGGGTTGGACTACATCTCCCAGCATCCCCGGGCCAGCATGATGGGTGAGGGCACCAGAGTTCCTGAGAATGACAGCAGAACCCACACTGGCTGTGGGCTGGCAACGAAAGAGTGCCGGGGTCGTACCAGCCCCAGGGCCTCCCCCTAAGCCCGCTCTTTGCCTGGCCAGGTGACGCGTGCGTGCGTGCGTGGGGGCGTGCATCCAGCTCCCCATTTTGCACACTTGCATTACACAAACGCTGCCTGTGCTCTGAGCTGAGGTTGCTTTTCTAGACCAGCATGCAACAAAAGAGGGTGAATGACGTTTTGACTCTGGGTAGGTAGGAAAAAATGGTTTGCCTGTGCTTGGCCAAGTTAAATTTTCATTAGTCTTAAAACCATTGAAAATAAATGCTATCAGAAATGGACACAGCCTGGGTTCATAAGAAAAAAATCTTTAATTTTTCACTTTATGGAAATACATATTTCACTCTCATTTCCATGATACAAAAATGTTAAATTTCAACCCAAGTTTATGAAATCTACCAAAGCAGTTTTTTTAAATACCAAGGGAAGGCTGGTGAATGTCACAGGATTCTGCTTGTCTTTTTAAATACTGGACACAAACCACGAGCTGAGGGGAAACTGCAAGGGAAGGGACACCCCCTCCCATTGCTCAACACCCTTCCCAGACATGATGTGGGATCTGAGGGAGGCGTCTTCCTTTGTCCTTTCCTTTAACACAAGACGCGGAGGATGGGCTGAAGCGGGTTTTAGTGGTGGGGGACACGCCGGCAGGGGCTTTCCTACTGCGGACGGCAAGAGACGAGTGGCCGAAAGCATGAACAGCCGGATGCAGCCGACCTGCGGAGGACGCTGTGCTGTCCGCAAAGACCGGCCGAGCCAGCTCGAAACGCGCGAGCTCATCCTGCTCGGCTCTGCGGGCCACACGCCGCGGAGAGGCGGTCGGAGCCCAACGGCCTTTTGATCTAGCGTTTACGACAGCAAAGGAGGTTCACGTAGGCAACGAGACGGACATGCACGCACGCACAGAAAGGGCGAGGCTTGTTCAGCGGACAGTTTAAAGAATTAAACTGCTCTTCCAGAAGCCTGCTGATCTTTTATTCATGGATCCCGCTCTGTTCAGAGAAAGCAGCGCTTGTGGGGCCGCCTGTGCTGCAGCCTCCCCAGGCTGGAGCCGGCCGCGTGCCGGGCTGGCGGCTACCAGGTGTCCGGGACGTCAAAGAGCCGGGTGGGGGTGGCCTTGAGGTCTCCTGGAGGAAGCACAGCAGAGCCGTGGGGTCGAGCTGCCGGGAAGGCTTCCGAGCACCCGAGTCTCTCTCCCCCCGCAGGCTGGCCGGAACGGGCAGAGCCCAGCGTGTGTTGCCACCCCCCTGCCCGCACGGCTCGGGCCCCCCATGGCAGCGGGCGGGGAGGACTGCGGGTGCGGCACTCACCTGCGGCGGCTGGCTCCCCGCTGGCCTCCCTGGCTCTTCCCTTCCCTTCCATGGACTCCGGAACGGCACCGGCAGGATCCAGCGGCACCTCCTGGCCTTGGCTCTCCTCCGGGTCGTCGCAGCCGCTCTCCTCCTGGATGGGGCTCATGCTCCTCTTCCCCCCAGGGCTGGTCGCGGCAAAACTGGAGGGCAGGGCAGAGGTGGGCAGAGACACGCGGAGGTCAGGGCGGAAAGGACTCTCGCAGACACTCGCAAGATTACTCCGGGCATGAGGCAGCCCAGGCTTCGGATCCAGGATAACTTTCTCACAAAGCAAGTGTTTCACCAAAGCAACCTTTGCGGAAGACTCGGTTCCCTTACAACTTGAACCTTATGGGCACCTGTGTGCTTTTACCGTGAGTCATCTAGGGCTTTGCAAGGAGCATCTGTGGCTTGCTTAGCGAGCTGCCCCACCAGTGGGACTGGGACGCCTCGGAGGGCCTCCGACATTCAGGACTGGGACGCTTCCAAACCTGCACCTGGGCAGCAGCTCACCTGCTCACACCGTACCGGCTCTGAAGCAGGTACGGCGTGACCTGTGTTTTTAAGCGCTTTCCCTCAGTCTCCTTCCAACTGTCTTCGGCCCATTTCCTCTTTGCCTGCCTCTTCTCTTCGTGCTTCTTCTCAATATACTCTGCGTAGGTCTGGATTCGGTAACTTTCGGCGTATCTGCTGGTGTTAACGGCTATGGCAAGAAACAAGCGGCCCATTAGGGAGAAGGCGGACTTGGGCCCAAACCGACCTTACGGCCACACGAAGCCGGCGAGCGCAGCTGAGCCAGTGGCAAGGAGGCGGGCGGCATGCGACTCCCGCCTGGACCCACCTCCTGGGGGGCAAAACCGTGGCCCCCTCTTCCTGGAGTGAGGAAGCGCAGGGGGCATGGTGGGGGGGGGCCGGTCCCCGGCTGTGGCGAGCCCACTGCCGCCTGCCGCAGCTGCACAGCCGGCCCTTGCCCCCAGACTCGCCATTTCTAGAGGAAAGGCGGTGGGGAAGGGGAAGAGTTGAGGGGGAGGAGGAAGCGCCGCAGTGCCGGGTCAGGCGGAAATGGGCAGCACCCTGACGGACGGCCTAATTATCCTGAAAGCGGGGCAGACAAAGTGGGGTGAAAGGGGAACGGAACGGGGAGACCGGGTTCCTCATCGTGGGTCAAGACCGGAAATGAAAGGCCTCCAAGGCAGGCGGGGGGTGGCGATGCGGCCGGCCCATTCGGCACAGCCCGAGGCTGCCAGCGACCCCTGGAGGGCAGCCCCACACGGAACATGCCGCAGCAGTCCCGAAAGGGGGCGGAAGTGGCGGCCCGCTGAAGCAGCAGAGCAGCGCTCGGCTCCTGGGGAGGGGCAGGAGAAAGGCGATCCACCGGTGTGCCAGCGGACTGGGAAGCGCTGGCACGCGGCCAGGCCGTGGGAGAGACGGGCCCACACACAGGCGGGGGAGGCCCAGGCCTCCCGAGCGCCGTAGCCACGAAGTTGCCATTTCGTGGAAAACAGAACCAAGCACGATCCCCTTTGCTCTGCTCGACTGCCAAACAATAGGGAGGCCCAGCAGAACACACACGCTTTTCCAAGGCCTTTGGCGCACTGCGGCTTGTTAGATAAACGGCACGACAGAAGCAACAAACCTCCAAGGCAGACGTTTTCTTCCGCTTAGGGCTTTCGCCACAGGTCCCTGCAGAGCCTCTCACACGAGAGTGCAAGTGTGCCCGCCCCCCGCACACACTCGTGCGCACGCAGGATTTCGCACCTGCTCTGCCAAGCACTCCCTTCGGGTCCCAGCGGCTCTGCGAGTCACAGCCCCGCACGTCCCAGCCGAGCTCTGGCGCAAAACCAGGCCCAGGCCGGCCCGAGCGGGCGAGTCGGCCAGCCGCCCGTCAGCTGGCGGCCACGCTCCTTCCGCCCGGGGGAGAGCGCTGGGTGGCCCTCGCAGGCTCCACGGCCTCTGCGAGCCCCCCCCCCCCCCCCCCCCCCCCCCCCCCCCCCCCCCCCCCC